ACATAGAACACTCAAAGACTTCCGCTTCTGCACACTTCCTGTCGTGTTCTCTATTTGGGGGCTAACACAGGCGGTAGTTAGACGGCGAATATTTTGGCCTGGGCTCCGTTACAACAATTTGGCGACGCATTGCGTGGTAATATCTCGGCCTGGGCCTCCATTATAACAATGTCCTCCAACAACTGCACATTAACTGTAAGAATAATATTGTTTGCTTAAATTAATAGCGTCCTCAGGGGCATTTCTTGCTTGTTACCCTGAAATATACATATAAAAATAGGTGTCCAACGAGCTTATTCTAGGGAAACGATACCACTTACCCTGGGGGTCGGTTCTTCAAACAGACGAATGCAGGCTAATGTAGTATATAGCAGAATTCTACCTCCGACGTTGTCTATATTTCGTAATCTCTTCATAGTCATGACACTAAAAGAAGTATAAATTTTGGTTTATCCTCATCCCATTGCAAACAAATTTGGATGAAACACCTGCTTTTAACTCATCTGTCTTTAAACGATCTTATCTCTCGAAAAAATCTTTTTGGTTGTGGTTCTAGAATGGGTTATCTAAATTTCCACGTAATTTCGTAATTTTTCAGAATATAAACACAACTTCCATAGGGTATTCCGATTTCTAAGTTAACATGTACAATATATTTAAATGGGAGTATAAATGTGAAACGCCTGCATGCATAGAGGGCACGGTGTCAGAAAGTATGTAAAGACTGGTGCGGAACAGTTTGGCGTGTGTTCTGCCTTCATTCGGCTGATCATAATGCTGACCAATACCTGACAAAAGAAACCCTAGCGTACGTTCACACACAACCCAGATGATTAATAGATGGGGCCAAGTAGATTTGCCAAATGCAGTTCATGAAACCGAACTTCTTCTATTCGTCTTCAAAGGAAAGCCACAAAAATGCCTAAGGGCAAAATTTCCCTTCCACATAGCTGCAGTCTGACAAACCTTATTTTTTCCCTACATCATATAGACATTTGCGCGCGGTTCTCCTATAGGCATTGTGCGTTGTGAGAGACGTGGATTGTTGTCCGACTTGTGGGAAACTTTTTGGTTTCCTACCACGACCAATTTCTGTGATCTGTGAAACTGCGCGTTCAAAACGCCAAACCAGATGTTCGAACTTTCAGAGTTCGTTGTCAGATTGTTCACGCTATAGAAGGCCTTTGCTACAGCTGTTATGATCTCGCAATTTATGGGATACTTTAAAAGGGACATTAACGCATGTTTGTTATAAAATTAACTGGAGCCATGCGGGATTTAAACAAACATTTGTGATTCATGCCCTAATTTTCATATTTAATACCCCTTTTTGGACTACTGCAACTCATTTATTTTCATTGTACACCGCCTCAAATTTAATGCTGCATATGCGGTACTCAAAGGTCCATGGTTATTTTCCCCAATTACCTCAATTGCATAGCATTGAAAAGGTAATTCTATGTTGCTTTATATCATCCATTACATTTAACACTATGTTTACTTGAATGAATTCCTTCAGTTATTGGTTTGCGTGAATGTACATTTCACAGCCAATACGAAGCGTGTTAGTTCCGAGGGGTCACTGGATCATTGTACACACAGGCCTTGTACACTTGTACCAGAAACTCAGGGCAATTTATCGAACTTTATCGTCTTTTATCACAAAGTGTCCTGACTGAGTTTCATTTTCCACAAAAAATGAATGCTTATTTGTAAAAAGTGGGTAAAGTAAATGATATTTCACCTTTGCGATGTTTCATACACATAATGGCAAATGGTTCTGACTTAAAGCGTTCTCTAATCGTGAATAATGCACACTAATATAATAATGGGTTTTCGGCACACCGATTTGTCCCTAGCTTTGACTTTAAGCTGTAACTTACCGTACAGAACACAGTACCACTTTAAATTCACTAGGAGTAATCCGCGTAACTTAAAAGTTCGGCTCGAGGGCTGCTGAATAATGGTTTGCTATCCTATGTCTATTATCGTCCTTTCAGAGTATCCTTGAGTACAATGGGTCCGCGGTTATTGGAATGAGGGGAAAGGACTGTGTTGCCATTGCAACAGATTTGCGGTTTGGCATCTCCTATCAAACTATTTCTACCGAATACTCGAAAGTGGAACAGCTTGGTCCTCGTTTGTTCGTTGGCTTTCCAGGACTAGTTACGGATAAGGAAACAGTGTATGTTATCGTACCTCTTTATATTAAGTCTAGTGAAACACATGTATGTGATATCTTTTGATTTTATAAAAAAAATTGTCGATCCTATATAGAACCAATTTGTGTACTTTTATCCTTGCCCACCCTGTAATTATTACTCGGT